TATATATATATATATATCGTATTATTCTGATGTATTTGTAAAGGGTGACGCGAGCGTGTTTTGATACCCTCATCAAACATGGTTTTCGAACAATCATAGCGCGCGTACTATCCCAATTATTTTATAATAAGATATCAGACAGCTAGTTGCACGGTTCTGAAAAATTTCTCTCATATTTACTGTAAAACAAATCTAAGCGAACACAGGATTCAATTTTTGTAAAGTCATTGCTTTATTGCTTCAATGGTTTAGGAAAATTGTCAAGCATAGTAGCAGAATATGGTGAAGACGATGACTCTGACCCTGAACCTGAAGAACCAAATGACAACAAATTTGCAGACCTGAAGTTAATGGCATGCCTATTGTGCAAGCGGCAATTTCCAAATAAGGAAGGTCTAGACAGACACATGCAATTCTCAGATCTACATAAGGTATGTCTGTTTTGTGATCAAAATCGCTGGCTCTCTCTTCTGTCTTACGTCTTCACTTCCGCATCATAATGATGATGATGATAATGATGATGATTGATGATCAAGATAATAATAACGGTTAAATGATGACATATCTACATATCATTGACTTATTGCAATATCGCTTAAGTAACCATGAAACAATGATTCCAAGTAGAGGTTAAACTTAATGTCAGCAGTAGGCTGCAAAGCAGGCATTCTTGTGGGTTTGGGGAAAAACCGGGGCTTAGGGGGAATTTTGGAACGAACGAGAATTGAAACCCCTCCCCCTCCCCCCACGTTCCCTTTTTTTTTTTTTTGCTAGGTCCCATTTTTCTCGCGGGCCATTGGTCAAAACAGGAACCCCAAAACCCCGATTCTTCCTCTGAAACCTATCAAAAGAACGCCGGCTCCGCAGGCTATGTCAGCAGATGATTTTTAACTCGTGTACACGCCAATTTAATAACCGTGCCATTGTCAGATATAGTATAAATCATTGGTTTATCTTATGCTTACAGCAAAACTTGGAGATTCACAAGAAAATGAGCATGTCAGAGAAACAAATAGAGGATTATGAGCGCAGAGAACGAGAGGTAGGTGATAATGCTTTACGGAATGACACATGGTCTGAAATGGAAAAACAGTGGATTAGGCCTATTGTTGCTACGCTAGGCGTGGTAATACCGTCCCCGTTTTACGATTGGATGCACAGTATTTCTCTCTCTTTGATTGGTTAAGGAACGAATGTAAAGTCTGGGCTCTTGAATTTTCAATGTTATGTGCGTCATACGCATTAAAAAAAATTTTTTTTTCTTGTCTTGTTATCCATAGTCTAAGTACAGAGACAGAGCAAAGGAGCGTCGACAAAAATACAATCAACCAGACCTCGGTTCAAGCTTTTATCAGCCTCCACCCAGTAGAAAACGGAAAGGATTCCAACCTACATCGTAAGCTATGAACACTATTGTTTCCTACCTAATATCTATTAGCTTTAACTGTTGTATTGCAGCGTGGGACAATCTCAACAGAGCCCTAAGCTTCAACTAGATGAAAGACCAAAAGATCGAAATGGAATATAGAAGTTGAGTTTTGAGGAGGGAGGAAAACCAGAGAACCCGGAGAGAAACCTTCGAAGCACAGGAGAGAACCAACAGACAACTATATTCATGAAAGGCGCCTTGCTGCAACTATGATCATCAAGCATGTCTTCATAGATCGTCATTACCTCCTTCCTCTTTGGGAAAAAACCCGCTACTAGCTACGTGTTTACGGCATGATATTGGAATGACTTTTTATGAATTAATGATTTTCAGGAAATTTGAGCAACCTACGAAAGCGGGTATCGGTGAGGATAACATCGGTAACAAAATGTTACGGGTAAGAGAAACTATTAGTATCATATATATTGTTTCGAGTATTACTGAATTTGCACGAATGTGTTTTTCAAAGAGCTTCAAAATAGCACAAGCCATGAGCAATACTCACCTCCCAGCTTAAGTATGTAATTTTAAGTTTAAAAACCTTGTTGAAGTGAATTTATGAATTTTTTGACAGGCAATGGGATGGAGCCAAGGTAGTGGATTAGGAAAATCAGGACAAGGAATTGTCGATCCCATCAAGGTAGGGTCGTAAGACACATAACTTATGCGCCACCAAAAAAGGGGGATGGGGGGTAAAGAAAAACCAAAAGCCAAGATGCATGGCTTACGTAGCGGCCGCCTCTGTGTGGCGGGGGTGGAGTGGGGGG